ATTTTTTTGTGGGGAGGATGAGTACCAGGGATTGAACTTAGGGGCGCTGGACCACTGARCCACATCCCCAGCCCTATTTTGTATCTTATTTARAGAGAGGGTCTCACGGAGCTGCTGAGCAYCTCACCACTGCTGAGGCTTGGAAATACATTTTTATTCACTCCAATTTACCACTAAGGGCCTGGATTTGCTGTATTAGTAACAACAACCCACTAAAGCCTAAAGCCAGATTACTATARCCCCAGGACTTTCTCTCGTGTTTTGGAAGAATATTGATTCTCTTGAAATTCAATTAAAATATTGGCTAATATTTAGCTCACCCAAGAGTAATTTGTAACTTTTGCAAATCCTCTCAGATTTAAATTTGAAAACAAAGGAATGATCATTGAAAAGAATGGGAATTATTTAACCCAGCATGGCTCACTCTTGGCACCATTCCCATGTGGGGWGGGAAGACTGTTTGGTGGGCCTGTTGGGTGCACTCACAAGATTACCTGTGTCCCTGGCCCTACCCACTGGGTGCTTTCCCCCACAGCTGAGAATTCCTGATAATCAATCCACTCCTGGACCATGACTGAAAATTCTAGAATTGTAGATGAGGGTAATCCTCATTTTGAAAGTTGAAACAGTTACAACTGATAACACCTAAGTAGAAGTGGACTCACTCATGAAGTGAAAGCTACCCAATCACACATTCCTCTTCATAACTAATGGTTTATTCCAGTGAGATCTAAAAACTACTGCTGCCACCACACACACCCACACAACCTGTCCATCCACAGTCTTCTGCTGTGGTTCACTGGAACTGCCCGTCACTTCCTGGGTCAAGAGCTTCCCTCCAAGTTCAGTGGTCAACGCTCATCAAATCTCGCTGGAGGCCTTCCACGCTGATCCGTACAGGACCATCAGACCTCTTCTGCCACAAGTTCTCTGACTTTGATTTTTAAAACACTGCTTTCATATATCTTATCTTTACTTTCAATCTTTTCACCTTTTTGAGCAATATCCTTCACACAAATTTTCTAGGGATCTAAATCTATCATCTACCTAAATCTAAAGTTCTTATTACTCGTCTCATTTCATTCATTGAAAAATATTTATTGAGAGCCTTCTCTGGGTCAGACCCTGTTGCAGAAGTGTATCTTAGAACACATAGGTGGGAGAGGGGAGGAATAGGGGGAGCCCTGASTAAAGGGAAATGAGAAGGACCAAGGAACAGGTCCCCGGAGGACAGAGTGTGAGTGGCTCATTCTCTACCCAGTCCTTTCTGGTGAGAAAACCAGGTGATGTGGCAGCTCTGCTTCTCCATAGGTCTCACGGGCAGAATTAAAATCTGACCTTACCTGACACTGGCTTTTACCACTTCCTCCTTATACAGCCTCGCGTTGATCCTGTCTTCTCAAACTTTACTAAGGCTTCGTCTGTGCACATTTTCAGATGTAGCAAAGCAACCCACTTCAGAATTTGTGTGCCCTGAATTACTTGCTTCCCCAGTCTGATACAGATGCACTAGTTTAGATTTTCAACCCAACTGTCAAAGACCTTTAAAGAAACAGGTTCAGGGGCTGGGGTCATGGCTCAGTGGTAGAGCGCTCGCCTTCGCACATGCAGGGYCCTGGGTTYGACTCTCAGCACCACATATAAATAAATAAAATAAAGTTATAAAAACTCCTTCTACCCAACTGAGTAATTTAATGACCAGCCAATATTTCACATAGTTCCCCATTTTGACCATTTTTAAGCAATGTTCTCTTCTTATCTTCAAAGTCAAGTTCATCTCTACCAAGAAGCCTTTTCTGCAAGGCAAAAAGAAAGGCATGTGCTCACAAGCACATTAACAATAAATCTCAGCTTCAGTGCATAAAAAGTGAGGGCCTAGAAACCACACAATATAAATAGATATTTGAGTCTTATTGTGATAATCGCCATTTACCCTACAATAAACTTAAGCTCCTGATGGCCACCTGATTTACCTCAAAAGTTCTGAGTTTGGAGGTAATTTCTTCAAGCAAATGTMGATCTTTGGAAACCTTGGCCTTTAATTTATTCCACTTTCCTTGGGCATCATCAAATTCTTGCTTATACATTTTTTCTACATCAGGAAGCACATTTTTCTCCAAAGCCTTTGTTTCTTCTGCAAGTTTACATAACGTGGGTTTTTGATTCTCAAGGATTTCATCAAGGGCCTAGGGAAAAAAATTGAAAAGGTAAAAATCATATACAGCAATGTGTCTGTGCAGATGGAATCACAATCAGAAAAAAAAAAGACATTTTATCAAAAAAGAATCGTAAAAAGAATAGTTATAATCAAAAAAGCTCAAGCTTTCCCTTCATGAGTTACGCCTGGGCAACATAAGATGTTCTGTGTGCTGAGAGCCGCAGGAGCACCACACCCATGAGGGTCCAGTGTGCAGTGTTAAGGGTCGGTCTTTTTCTGTGATGAAGTACCTCAGAACCTTAAGGTTACTTAACTTACTACCAGGGAAGCATTTGTACTCAACACCAAATTTTTTAAAAGTATGAATTCAATTAATATTCCTCATTTTACAAAAGAGATCTTAGCACATTATGAACAGGTTGAAAGTTTTAGGAAAGTTATAATAGAAGGAGAAAATATGCTTTTCTTCTACTAATACTAAATAAATTTCTTTTTATCTGAGGTCCTATGCTATAATAGCTAATCGTCAAATTCTAAGAAATTTTGAGACCAATTTTGACTACAAATGACCAATGTTTTTAAAAAAAAGATGACAAAATCATTCTTTTTAATCTTACTGAGAAGGCCCAAAGGAAGAAACAACACCTATTTCTCCTTTTAAAATCTTAAAATATAGAACTTAAAATTTCTAGACTTCAGAACCATATATTACCTTTTTTTCTTGCAGGGCCTTCTCCATCTTGGCAAGATCATTCAGAGCACTGAGAGACATCTGGGCCTTATTTTCTGAATCACTTAGTGTATCTTTTAGTGTTTTTAGTGTCTCCAAATATGCTTGTCCCGGCTGGCTCTTCAATTCTGTTTATTTAAAAATACTTACTTTGAGAAAATAATATTAGGGATATGATTGTTATTCTATATACCATTAATCTTCCATATATAATAAGTGAATTCAAATGCATAATAATTTAGACCCCTAATTAAAATTTAAAAGGGTCTCTGTTGGTTAATAAAATAGGTCATTCTACTGGCATTTCTAGGACTCAGACAGTGACTTCATTCCTGCGGATGTTGATGTTTGAAATATTAACTAACTCACTATCATTTTTCTTCATTTCATCATGATGAAATGTCTCTCCAAAGCTAGAACAACAATGTTCCTTTTGTCCCACATAATCTCCTCTTCCCCAATTGCCACACAAAGAATAAAGAAAGAAAACAAAGATCCACCAGTCCTCCTGTAAGTACAAGGCCCCAAGAAAAACCCATCTCACAGTGGCAGGCATGTACAGGGACACGGCACCAGGCTGCCACAGGTACCCTGAGAAACAGGGCCAGCCACAGCCCGCTGGTGAAGTCTACTTGTACGTCTAATATAAGAATCACATACAGCAGCACTTGTGTGGAAGAGAAGTGAGTTCATCTGAAGGACAAAGAGACAAAACCAGCCAGCAGCCAAGGTTAAAATGCCTATGGGTCCTTGTCAAAATGAAAACATAGTTTGTGCCAGTAAAGTGAGAAAGAGGTCCTCTCCATATTTACTTTGCACTCTAGGTTAACTAATATCACTGAGCAAAGGCACGGTGTCCAAATGCCTTCTGGAAGACAATAAGACACATTGTCTCATATACACATGTACTGATTCCTAAGGTCCTCACACAATCTGCGGTACCTGAAGAAGGCAGTGGTTATGGGCACTGCTCTGAGTCTGTACTACCCAGTCCAAACTTAAACAGCAGCTCAGGAAAACACATAAGTAAAATATAAGGGATGAGCTCTCACAGCCTTTAGCAGCTAACTTCCTAAAACCAGGTTTACTGCAAAAGTAAAATCTCATTAAAATTTTTCATCTTTTAGAAGAAGAACATGATTTCTTTTTCAAAAAAGGGATGGTATTGCTAAAACCGTAATCATTATGAATGAAAAGAAAAAAGTGATCATTCTTTCTAATCTTATTGAGAAGGTCCAAAGGAAGAAACAACACCTATTTCTCCTTTTAAAATATTAAAGCCAGGCATGGTGGTACATACCTGTAATCCCAGGTACTCAGGGAGTCTAAAGCAGGGGATTACATGGTTGAGTCCAGCCTGAGCAACTTAGCAAGAGTTTTATCTCAAAATAAAAAAGGTTGGGGATGAAGCTAAGGGGAAGAGAGCTCACCTGGGTTCCGATCCCAGTAACACACATACGAACACACACACACACACACACACACACACCAAAAAAAAAAACCACTTTATTTAAGAAAAGCATTAGATCCTATTAACACATTTTTAGAGTATGTGAAAAGTGTATGTATTTTTCCAATCAAATGTGAGCCCAGAAAACAGTCTGATTATACTTTAAGACCTTGAACCACATGGTGCCAAAGAAAACGTAAAACTGGTGTAACGCATAAACACGCTGACAATCTTAAGTATTGGGAATAATTTTTAGATTCAGGCAAACAGAGAGGAGATAGTAATATCATCAAGTAAGAAAACCAAGGGAATGGGTTTACCATTCTCTAGCTGTTGTTGATGATGCTCTAAATCCTTCTGCACAGCCTGGTAGTGGCCCAGAAAGCCATCCAAGCTCTGCTGGACAAAACCTGGGACCGAAGGCCGAGACCTCAGGGCCAAGCAGCTTGCACGCACCATTTCAATTCTGGGTTGGAGGCCAAGGAGATTGTTGAGTTCCCTCTGTGTAAGAGAAAATATGGTCACATAACTCAATGAAGGAATCTCCCCAGAAAGTCCATCAGAGCAGAATTAACTAAAATTTCATGACACAAAAAGCACCTGCCTCAAGTAGGAAATGGTACATAGAACTCTGGCATACTCCAGACGGCTGGCTCCTTACCTGACAGGATTCCTTCAAACTTGCCAAGGACTGCTGGGGAGATTTAGAAAAGGGCGTGTGTTGTACCCACTCCTCCTTCTTCTTTACGATCTTTTCAAGCTCATCAATCTGCTTACAATAAGCATTGATATCCTCCTGAAGCTGAAGCTTCCCGGCCAGATCCTCCAGATGCTGAGATACATTCTTCCACTCTGATAAAACCTTCTCCAGAACATTTTTTATTTCTTCAGTAGAAAGACCCTCTACACAGACAAAAGAATAAACAGATACTTCAGAGTTTTATAAAACTTTGTTCTGAATTGGTTCCAAACATTCTAAGTTATTCCAAATGAGATAACTTCACATATAATGATCACTTCCTTGTGTCCCTCTTAACACAACAATGAAAAATTATAGCGATGCACTTTAAAAAATATTTAGACATATTTAACTGCTTGACCCATATTTCAGGGTGGGGGGCCCTGAAATGGCAGTTCAGGGCGGTGTTGCTACCACAAAAGGCACATCAGTGCAGTGTGGCCACTACCTTTTCTGCAGAATGTGTTCTTTGTACTCTGCTACCTTATAACCCGAGCCAGGGAACTAAATTCAATGGCCTGAATTCAACGGCCTCTGACATCATAATCAAGACCCTCTGTCGTGAGAGATAAAGACAGCTGGCTAATTAAAGGAAGAGGCCATGCAAGCCTGTGGAGATCAAACCACGGTGTCATATAAATTACAAAATAAATAGCAAGAATTCCTATTTCTGGGAAGCAACCAGGCACATGTGGGAAAGTTAAGCCATCAGCCAGGCCTAGGGAGTCTACAGGGCACTGCACATATATAAGTCAATGTCCAAAACATCAAAGTGTGGTAAGATTAGAAATATATCAGAAGAGAATGCCATTATTTTTATAAGACTCTTACAATTTTGTTTGCCTCATATTTTTGAAAGGTAGAGAATGTTCCTAGAAATAACAAAGGTTTTTAATATATAATAATAGGTCTTTTTTTTTTTTGGTATTGTTTTTTATTTGAGACAAGGTCTTGCTAAATGGTAAAGACTGGCCTCAATCCTCCTACCTCAGCCTCCTGACTCCCTGGGATTACAGGCATGCGCCATTGCATGTGACTCTAACAATAGATCTCTTCACAGTTCTTCCCTTAGTAGATCAAATCCCTTAAAATGACGATGAGAAAGATTGGGAAATTGGCAAAGGAATTTTTATATTCAGAGAACACGCATATTGAAAGGACAGGCTTCTCATCTTCAATAACTCAGTGGGAGGGCAATAAAACAGTTCTGCTTTGTGAACATATGCAACAGAAATCCAGGGTAATGAGAAATCAACCCCCAAAAAGAGGGGGAGGCCTGGAAAACAAAAGGGCATTTATGGTCCACTGACAATACAACTCTAAAAATTTTAATAGTACATTGTTACCCACTGAAAACTAGAAATGCAAATATATTAGAGGATTTGAATGTACCCCATGTCAGTTGCTGAAGTTCACTATCCACTGTTACAGAGGTGACACATTCAACCTAGGCAAAACTTTCATGCCACAACCCAAGTTCAAATAGCCCTGTTCATGTGGGTCATAAACACAACGAATCATGATTTTCTGCACAATGGAGATCTAGGCTTCACTCCTGCTAGATCATCTCTAGTCTAGGTGGACATAGGCAGAATAACTGCATCCACTTCATTTTTATGTCARGGAAATTTATTAAATGGCTAAACAAGGAAGAAAATTAAACTGGTAAATAAAATTCCTGAGATGAAAAACTGTCACCCCACTAGAAATCAGATAAGAGTTACTCACTGCAGGTACCAGGGCAGCTAAAGAAACTTCTTGAGTTATTGATTCACAGTCTCTCATGACCCCCCTTCATTTCATCCCTTCAAACCAGTTGTAAAAGGTGAAATCTCCCCTTCTCTATGTTTGAGACATTGCTGGCTAAAATGACATCAAGTAATAACTACAACACAATTTGCATCCTAAAAAAGGAAATAATTATTTTTGCTCAGAGAGACCCAACTGTAAGTTTTCTCTTTCTACAGAACACTCAACACTTAGAATATGACTAGTTGAAAGTCAAAATCAGTAATAATTAATAAAAGCACCTCATTTTAATTATGTAAAAGGGACAAAATATAACACATTCCTGCCACTTCCTCTCACTTCACTTGACGCTTTTTGACCTATCACTACTGAAATCTGGGAAAAGTTGACAAAGCAAAAAGCCAACATCAAAGTTCATAGGTTTTTATACTTAGCCAGCCATAATAAGTGTTGATTCATAAAGTCACAATATATAAGTCCCAACTGTGACATTAGTTGACAATCCCCAGGAATAAGATAAGTTAAACCAAGAAAATCTGGTATATCACCTGGAAAGGTCAAACGAATTTAATTATTTTATTTTTTTTTAAAACATACTATGCTCTATGAGACATCTCAAAACTTAAGTCAATGCATTATTAGGCAGAGAAGTCCTATCAGACTTGGTAGTGTTGGTTTTTTTGACAGAACTGGTTTTAGGAAAACAGTGACATGATTATTTAAGCATCTGTTTTACAGAAGAATTTCATTTGCTTTTCTAACAGAACTGAGTCATTTATCTGCATCCACACCTAGGGGGAAGTTGGCCATACTTCATTCTGTAAAAAAATTCCTCTACATTCATTATGTATATTCTAAAATTTGTTTCAAACTCTTGAGAGGGACAAGTGAAGAATCACCCAATAGTGCTTTCACAAATGTTCAACATTCCTGGTATTAAAACAGCAACAGGAGTAACAGCACTGAACACTTGTAGAAGAAAAGTAACATGTGTTACTGAAAATTCTGAATAATGGATATAATGGTGGGAGACTGAAAAATATCCCTTTTCTTCCCTCTTTAACCAAAGGCAGACAYGCCCACAAAAGTGAGAAAATTGTACCCAAAACACACCTCAGATCAATGTCCCCATTTCCTACCTTCCTGGCTCATCTTAAAAAATTTTAATAACCAATAAGTCTTTTCTAAAAAAAAAAATAGAATTACTGTTCCTATTGAAAGTACTCCTAGTTCTACTAAAGCTTAAAAAAAGTAAGTGAAAATATAAAACCTTCCTAAGAAACTGAATAGGTACAGATGTTAGGTTACAAAATCCATTCCTTAATAAAGCCTCACACCCTACACCCCACCACGTTGCGCTTGACCTTTGTGAGTAGCGCTTTCACGTAAATTCAATTTCCAGAGTGTGTATTTTTAGGAGCTGCCTATTCACAGATTTTATTGAACAAAAGCTAAGTCAGCTAATGAACTCTTTGACTTGCTAGATACAGAAGCAAAGAAACAAGTGTTCCCTGATCTTCTCAAAGTCAAGAAATTAGAAAAGGACAGGAGAACTCAAGTCCATCCAGCCCCCAAGTCACTGCTGTCCCCACTATAACATGACACCTCTCACCAACTTCTCACCCAGGCAGTCTTCCCTCTGGCTCCTCACTAATCCTGCCTCTGCCCATCGACTAAAGGCTACCTAGGCCYGGGTAATCTCAGTGGGCAAACTCATGAAGCTACCCAACCTTCACACCAGACACACAGAGTCCCAAGGCACAGTGTTGAGGTACAAGTAAAGAATGTAAAATAGAAATGGACATCAATTCAACACCCAGCTATCTATTATGATTGCAAGAATCAGCATCTCAAGGGAAATTATCGTCTGCTTGTGTCTCTGGATCTTCAAGAAAATATCTGAAGGAGTAATCTCCAGATAGGAGGCCCACACACGGGATAACTAAGACAATCTGCTAGGGTGGATTTTGAAAGAACATACAACACTATTTATCTTCTTTCCTTTTTTTTTTTTTTTTTTTGGTACTGGAGATTGAACCCAGGGGATGATAAATCACATCTCAGCCCCTCATCCCTATTTTTCCTATGTTTTTAAATTTTCTTTTAAATATTTTTTCTAGATATTGATGGACCTTCATTTTTTTTAAATTTATTTATATACAGTGCTGAGAATCTAACCTAGTGCCTCGCACATGCTAGGCAAGTCCTCTACCTCCGAGCTACAACTCCAGCAACATGTTTTTGTTTGTTTGTTTGTTTGTTTGTTTTGTTTTGTTTTGTTTTGAGAAAGGGTCCCATTAAGTTGCTTAGGGTCTCAATAAATTACTGAGACTGGCCTCCTGCCTTAGCCTCCCAAGTTGCTGGGATTACAGGCATGACCCACTGCAAATGATGGTGGAATGTGATGGATGTTATTATCTTAACAGGTATGAAGATATGAATTGGTGTGATTATACTCTGTATACAACCAGAGATGAAAAATTGTGCTCTATATGTGTAATAAGAATTGTAATTCATTCCACTGTCATATATAAATAAAAAAAAAATAAAAATTGAAATTTAAAAAAAAGATATTAAACTTTGGTAATTATATAGATTGACAATGACACATTTGCATAATTTAGAAATAAATAAATATAGATGGGACACATGTGTGGATATATGCTACGTATTTTGTGTTTATGTTTGTGTATAAATCTCATATATACCAGATAGATAGACAAATAGATAGATAAAATAAACTGACATACTTTCTTAAAGGCTGGTGGCAAAAATAATGTAAGGTTCAAAAAAAAAAAAAAATAAGAGCAGAATTGTTTCAGAGGGCATGATGGGGAGGGAGATTGATTCTTCCAAAAGGGACATGAGATCACTTTCTGGAGTGATTTGGCACATGTAAGTTACACAGGGTATTTTTGTCAAAGCAGCACAACTAGGTCTCATATACTTCAGTGTAATCAAATTTCACTTATAAAAAAAACTACAAAAAWTAATAATACTCAAAAGGACAAGGAGTGGCAAAGGTACAGAGAATTCCAGAATGGCAGATCATCACTAATTTTCAAAGTGGGTAGCTTGTACAAAGAGGTTCACTACACTATTCTATTTGCTTTGAATATGCTTACAATTTTCATAATAAAAAGTCAAAACCAAAGATTAGAAACCACTGCTTTGAGATTTTTGTCAAACTAGTATTCCCAATTCTGCATTAGTATTTCAGTGTTGGTCAGGGAGAGCGACAGCAGACCCAGAGCACAGACCACTCTTAGAGGAAGGAGTAGGGTRTACAAGAAACATCCCTCAAAGTTAGACCGAAGACAGAACCATATGCTAATCTGCACAGAGAAAAAAATATRTATACTAATCTTTTTTTTAAAGTTATTTAGTTCAAGTAAAAGCTTCAAATACAAGCAACATCATATTTTACTATTAAAAACATCCCAAGAGCAAAATAATATAATGCACTGAAAGTGACCAAAAACTCAAATACCACTATGGATTTACCTTAAGGTAACTTCACCTGCCAAGTGTTGTCAAAGTAAAGTTTCCTTTTGCTACGCTCCTATGAAAAAAAATGTTCAATACACAACCCCAAAAGATGAGGTTTTAAAATTGTCCACTGGACATTAGTTATCCTGCTGAGGTTTCACTTTTAGTTCCTTGACCCCATAAAAGAAGAATGACTTTGCTTTTATCTCCTTTTGCTAATTAACTTCCCTATAAAATTTATTTTAAAAGATTCTTCTGCCTAAAAAAAAAAAAAATTGAAACTAATTTTTCTAACAAAAAAGAGAGTGTTAGATGTTGGATATGTCAAACTGCAATATTATTCAATGTCATCATCTAAAATAATCTGGGGGGGCGGGGGGAATCAAGGGTCTCACCTTTTCCCATTTGTTCCAAAAGGATTTGTCCAGTTCGGTTTAATTCATCCAGCTGGGGGCGTCTTTCTGTCTGTTCTTTTTCTAATCCCTGGAGAAAAAGTTCCAATATAAGAACAGTGTAAACTTTCTTCTCAATAGAATGCTGATTCTACTTTAAATTTTTATGTTTAATGTCCCTCTCAAATTTTCTTTAAGCATTTCAAAGTTTACCAAAAAAAAAAAAAAAAAAACCATACAATTCCAGGCTACGCTCCAGTACCCCAGAAATGAATAAATATGAAAAGATAAATTTAAACAATAATGACAGCAACTAAAAACTTCAGCTTCTTCTATAAGAAAAAATGCACACTATAATGATGAGTTTCTATCAAGAAGAAATAAGTAAAATTACTGTTTTAGATTCAGGGTACTATTCACATAGTCTGAGTATTCCACACCATAAAAATAATGGTTTGAGTCCAAAGAACTGAATGAGCTATGACAGACATCACAGAGAAAAATGATAACAAGAAAAAGGGAAATATTTGGAGGYTCAGTGTTATTCTTTGGTGTTTTTATATTTCTAAAGTCTAATGCTAACTTCAACCGCAAGCATTTTTCATATATTATTTTTAAAGAATGACAATATCATTTAAAACCCAAACTAAAGCAATTTTGTTCTTTAGATTTAAAGTGTATTTCATAATTTTCTTAAGGTCATCTATCAGGATCTGTGGAAGATTGGATCCAGGACACCCCTGCAGACACCAGAATCTGAGGATGTTCAGTCCCTTATACAAAATGGTGTAGTAGGCACAGTTAACCCAAGCAATCCTCTGGTGTACTTTAAATCATCTCTAAATTACTTATAATATCTAGTACAGTGTAAATGTTACATAAATAGATGTTATCGTGTATTTGGAGGATGAAAATGACAAGGAAATAAGTCTGTATGAGATCAGTACAAAGGCCACCATCCTAGGTGTATCGGTATAATACAAGAATAAGACAGGAGGTAAGTAAGGAGTGCTAGAGAGGCTGAGGGTGCATGAGATGGGACAGTGGGAGGCTACAGAACAGCTGCATGTGTCCTCACATGGCCTCCTTCTCCTGGACTCAGCTAAGTGTTCAGTGCACAACAAATATCAGTTTTACTTTATGGAACTTTCTGGAAACTTTTTTCCCCCATATTTTCAATTCACAGTTGGTGAAGTCTACACATGTGGAATCTATGGATACAAACTTTATCTAATTTTTGAAGTATTTCTTCTTTAAAGAGAACATATTGAAGACATTTTGAGATCTGAAATAGTTCACTGTATTCAGAAGGCAAAACATCTTTGAAATAACACAAAGTCATAAATTACAATTCAAGTAGATCGAAACAGGTTTAAAATAGTAATGAAAACTGGATCATAACCTTAGGAAGCATGGCCCATGCAGACCTGGACAGTTGCAGAGGAGAAAAGGAGAAACAATCCTCCACCACAGGGGAATCCTCCAAGAGCCAGGACAAAAGTTTTCAAAATTTCCTACGATGTTCTAAAAGGTACCTTATGGCTGCATTTATCGCACTGGATCCCATCACATTCTTTTGCCAACAGCAAATCCAGCCTGATGAAATATTTTACTCAGTATAGTATTTTTGTTTTATTTTTTACCTTCAACTTCTTTTTCATTTCTGAAGTCTCTTGCATCTTCTTATACTCTTTTATCTCTGAACTCTGAATGGCAGTCTTTGATTTCAGAATCCAGTTCATCAGCTCTGCACTTACAGCATCAAACCTGAGTTAAGATTCAGATATTACCACCTCTCATTTTGTTTTCCTGTTTCACTTGGTTCAAGAAAGAACAATTCAAATGCCCATTGGGTGTATGTCTTCGAACAATGCTCCCAAATAGTAACCCAGAAATATAATAACCACACTAAGATCATATATGGATAATTAAGAGTATGAACTGAGTAATAATACTGTAGTATTAATAAATAAATAACAAATTACAATTTTTTAACTTTGGAAGGAACCCCTTGTATTTTTATATACTCTTAAAAATAATAAGAACTACATTTGGTTAGATAGTAACAGAAGAAATCAAGTACAAACATTACTAAATTTAATGCCTTTTTTGTTCCAAACATAATTATCAAGTACAACTACATGCCAGGCATGGGCATGGGCTGTGATATCAAGAAAAATGAGACACACAAACCTCAGCCCTCAAGGAGCCTCCAGTCACTAGCAAGCAAGAGCAATAACAAAAGAATCTGCTAGATTCTACTTCCAGGAATTCACAGGAATGGCTCTTAATCCAATGGGGAAGGGATGGCCTTCCAGTGTAGAACAATGGCTATACTTAGCAGTTTTCCTTACAAAAAACAAGGAAGGAAGGAAAGAAGGAAGGAAGGAAGGAAGGAAGGGAGGGAGGGAGGGAGGGAGGGAAGGAAGGAAGGGATGGATGGGAACGTCATATTTTACAATCTCCAAATTGTTATGTGTGTTTGGATAGCAAGCACCTGCAGGTAAGGATAATGGACAAGGTGGCCAAGAATCCCAGGGACCAGTTAATGGAAGGTTCTGCAGGAGATATTAAGGAATTCTGACTTAACGGAAGAACAACTACGAGTGAGTGGAAATTAAAGAGAGGCAAGTGCAGAGAAAAGCCCAGAACTAAGACAGTGACAGTGGAAAAGAGGAAAGTGGACAGTCGGAAGAGGTACTGCAAAGGCAGGTCAACAGAACCACAGGAGGAACAAGAGAAACGGTCACTGACTGCTGGCCAGAAACCAGGCCCTTGGCTGAGTGTTGTKGTTTAGCTATGAGGTATCCCCCAGAGTTCATGTGTGAGATGATTCAAGAAGCTTAGAGGGAACTCAATTGGGTTATGAAAGCTTTAACCTAATCTGTGCATTAATCCTCTGATAAGGATTAACTGGATGGCCACTGTAGTCAGGTAGGATGTGGCTAGAGGAGATGGGACTTTGGGAGTATGGCTTTTGTGCTTATATTTTGTCCTGCCCAATCTCCCAATCTCTCTCTCTCTCTCTCTCTCTCTCTCTCTCTCTCTCTCTCTCTCTCTCTNTTCCATGTTCTGATCTGCTTTCCTCCACTCTTCCGCCATTTCATTCTGCCCACTTCAGGCCCAGACCAATGGAGTTAGCCATCTATGGACTGACACTACTAAAACTGTGAGCCCCAAAATAAACCTTTCCTCCTCTAACTGTTCTTGTCAGGCTTTTGACAAGAACCAGCTGACTAAAACACTTAGCATTTTGATGTATATTACTAACTCTAAGAATCACAATTGCCCTATGAAGTATATTCCACTGAAGTATGTTCAACTGAGCTCACTGAACTTTACAGTAATTGTGCCACATTAATAAATGGTGGGGCTGGGCTTCAATCCAGGCAGCCCATCCTCCTGCCCATAGTGTTCTCAGTACTTTAAGCAGCAGCTGGGATTCTTGGTTCCTTTGGGAAATTTCTCTTGATGTGTTTCTAGTGAGTAATGAATAAACTGACCTTTTACCAAGATAGGTTTTCCACCTAAAATGCCGAGACGTTTAAATTTAATTACAAAGACTAGAGGATGAAGGGGGAAGAKATAAGGGAAGCTAATCAGTTAACAGTTACCAGCCAAAACTAACAAAAGACTGTTCCACATTCCTGAATGTAAGTTAAAACCTTGACTGAACACTCTGGTGGCTGACCCCCTAAGCACCATCATCCCCGTTGACACATGAACTTTCCAGACTACTAACACCAATCAATCCTGAAGCAAGATATGGACTGTCCTCCTATCCCCAGACTTTCCCTGCTTGGCACTATCTTCCTTTCTTATTTATAGTTAATTAGGTTCAATGCAAACAATTTATACTTCCCTTCCCCAAATTTTATGATGCTCTGGGTAAACGCCAAGGTGTCTGCACAAACAGGAGACTCCTCCTGTCATCCCACCTCTCTAACCTTCCAGAAACGAGGAAGGCCATCCAAAGATCACACGTGTGAAATGACCTTGGAGACTCGGTATACTTCTGTACTCCAAGTGAGCAAAAGTGGTACAATGATCTCAGGTCACAGAAACAGATATCCAGATTGTAGGAAACAACTGTCCAGCCATGCCCTGAGCAGGCAAAACACCACCACCAGTGACATCATGAGAAGAGAAGGAAGCAGTGTTATTTACGGCTCTCAGCTGCTCAGGCAGGTCATCTTAAGACAAGTAAACAGTGGCTTCCAGAGCAGAATGAAGATCTGCAGGATCTGGAAACCATGTCACACTAGGAAGACTTACAAACACTCTGGCCTTTAGGACAGTGAGAAGTGGACTATGAAAGCTGTTTTCAAATTCTGAAGAGGAACTATGTGACTCCATACTGCTCTAGAAAGAAGAGCAATCCCACATGRGTAGATTAGAGGGGGCAGGCTATGGGTGCAGAAATAACATTTCTAATAATGATATTTAACCACCTTCTACTCTAATGAACTACCTGTGCTCAACCCTCTAATTGTCCAAGAATTAAATGAAGAAATGTCTGCAATAATCCAGTCATGGGCTGGAATAACTGTGGTCCTCAGAGTTGGTTGCTTATTATCCCCTCTGTAGACTATTCTGGACATCCACCTCTCCCTTACTGCCTGAATCCCCCAGAAGCCAAACTACAGAGACTGAACAAAACAAACCATCTCAACCTCCCATGTGCACATGGCAAAAACAAGTGGTAGAGCGCTTGCCTAGCATGGGTGAGGCACTGGGTTCAATCCTCAGCACCACATAAAAAACAAATAAATAAAAAATAAAGGTTAAATTCTTTAAAAAAAAGAACCCACACAAACAAGTGGGTGAATTCTGGCCAGTGATACCAGGGGAGTCTCTTGCTGAGAAGACAGGGCTGCAGGTGAAAAACTGGCAGAGAGTAAGGTGGAGGCATATCAAAGTACACTCTCCTGTTAAAATTGCCCTGCTTCTGTTTTTCTTGTAAGGACCTCACTGTTTAAGCCACTTTGGGTACATTCTCTGTTTCTAGCCCAGAAAGCTCCCGATACATTACAGACATGTTTAAATTCAACTTTCACAGCGACACCTCTAGTCTTTCCCAACCTTCCATCCTTTCAAATGCACAAAGTCAGCACTGAGAGATGYGCTGTCAGATACACCTGGCAGCTAATAGACACTCAGGAGACGTAGGATCTGTGCCAGATCATCTTCCACCTGGCTGCCTTGGCTTCAAGAGTACAGGTGACACAGCTGCTGCTTACAACTCAGAGATACAGTGGTCCTCTAAGAAGAGGCTACTAGGAGGCAGGATTACGATCAAAATGAAAATCATCTGATAAAACTAAAATCCTGCTTTGTCTCAAAAAAACTTAATTAGAAAAAGCAATATCACTTTCATTTGGGTCTCAAATCCCTGCCCATTTAATCAAGCCCTGGGGTCCTACTGTAAATGGGGCATAACAGTGCCCATCAAAGGTCACTTTGAGGATGCACCACTATGGTGCATGTAAGATAGAGTGCCTGGAATACAGTAGGGCTGAACAGAAATCTGACATCAGCAGGAGATCAACAGATGTCTGCTGTGAGCGTTCTTCTTACAAAGACCCTGAGTTTTCTTTTGAATCAGTAAGGCAAAAAGAAACATTTCACACCAAAGGTGAACCTTGATACCAAATAGGAAAAACCTGTTAATGAATCTGACAAAGGAATTAACCAAGGAAACATGAAAAAAGAATAAGGAAGAAAAAGGGGACACTAAAAAGGAGTTGTTCTCCTGATAGAAATCATTTTTAATGGTGAGTAGAGGAAGATTCACAAAGAATAAAGAATCTATCTAAAGCAAAACCGTCCAAGTTGTAAATTGTGAAAGAAAGAATCAACGAAGAGCTGTGAACGATCATTTCATTCCAAGGTAAAGGATGGGAAAGGAGAACAGAGAGTTTCTCCACACAGTTTGGCAAATTAAACATGAGATAAATAAAACCATCCAAGATAATGTAGATGCTTAGTTAGTGTGAAGCAGAATATTCAAATGACTCAAAGGCACTTCAGACTTGAATTTCCATAATAATAATTATGTCACAATTTGCACTTCATTAGTGATTAGTACAAAATAAGTGTCAACTGTCAAATGCACTGTGTACAACACGGGGTCTAGGGAATTTCTCTGTTCTCACGTTTTCTTAGCTTCAATGTCCACGTGGACCTGTCTCTTCTTTGGGGGAGGAGGCGGCGGCAGTTCCTGCTTAGACTTTTTGGTAGTTACTTGTTCTCTTACACGAACCGTCTCCAAAAGATCCTTCTGAGGAATCTGGGACATCCCCAGCTTCGCTACAGCCTGAGTCACCTGAGATAAAAATCACACAAATTTGAATTTTGTATAAAGAGCTTTTTCGAGATATAAATAACATATCATGAAATTTTCCCTTTGAAAATGTACAATTCAGTAGTTATTAGTATATTCGCAGAGCTTTGCTAACCCCCCAAAAAAACTTCATCTCTCTTAACAGCAACTTTGCAAACTCTACCCCCCAACCCTGGCAACTAGCTATCTGCCTTCTGTCTCAAAGGATTCGTCTATTCTGGACATTTGAAACAAATGGAATCATATAATCTGGCATTTGGCTTCTTTTACTTAGCATGTTTTCATGATTCATCCCTAACTGTAGCACATGTTAACACTTTCATTATTTTTTATGGCCAAGTAAAACTGCATTCCCTGGCTATACCATGTTTTATTCATCCATTCATCCACAGATGGACATTTGGGTTGTTCCATTTTTTTACTGTTATTGATAATGTTGCTATAAACATTTATGTTTATACCAAAGTCTTATTTACAAATTCACAAAATATTTTAGATTAATAAGATTACTTAAGATTTAAAATTTTAAGATTATATGCTGGACATGTCTAAGTGTTATTAATTACCGCAGATTGAACTACTGAATATTAAGTTTTTGGAAAATCTATTAAAATTTATGTTAGAGAATGGAAGAAAGATTTCCTCATTATCAATTATTCATCAGATATGAGGAATTAACTTTTTAGTTCACCAACAAGTCTTTCATTTCATAAAAGCCCAAACCGACCTGAACATTTAAATTGTTACTTCCTGGTACAACATTCTATCCAAATCAAAAGGTACCTGGTTAGAGGAATCTTCTAGTCTCTGAACCAAAGAATCCCATCTCTGAGTCAGCTCCTCCGAGTCACTGTTCATCTTCTCAGACGCCTTGGGATTATCAAGTAACTGACCCACATCCTGGCCAATCTCACTCAGCTGATCCAACGTTTGGCGCTTCATTTCCATATCTTCCTTCAAAATCTAGTATTTYGGATACTTATTAGACAATTCTCTCTCAACAGGATTCTGTCTTCCCTATTCCCCAATCAGGAAATTTGAACATGTTCATTTTTTCGTTAAATTTAGAAGGAATGTGATTCACTATATACTAAAACGTAAGACTCGTGGTTCCAGATCAAGGCATGACAACAGTGTCCTGCCAGGTGCTGAGCTATAATCCTCATTCATTACATCCTATTAACCATCAACACAGAACACTGACAGGATGCACTTTGCATTGTGAGATGGACATGAGTTTTGGGGGGGCCAGGAACAGAATGTTATGGTTTGGATGTGAAATGTCTCCCCCAAAAAAGCTCATGATAGACAATGTAGGAATGTTCAGAGGTAAAGTGATTTGACKAAGAGAGCTATAACCTAATCAGTAGATTAATCCATTTGATGGCTGAAAAATTTGAAAAGACTATTGTACGAGGTGATAACTGTAGACAGGTAGGGTGTGGCCAGAAGGAGTAGGTCAAGGGGGGCAGGACTTTGGTGACTATATTTTGTCCCTAGATTCTCACTCTCTCTGCSGCCAACAGCTTTCCTCCACTGTGCCCTTCTGCCATGATGTTCTGCCTCACCTGGGGCCCAGAGTCAACCATGAAGGGAACCTCTGAAATAGTGAGCCCAAATGAATTTTTTCTCCTCTAAGTTGTTCTTGTCAGGTATGGTGTTCACARTGAGGAAAGACATTGCCAACAACATGACTTACAGCCAGACGTCGAACACTGACGCTTAGCTCCTTCTGATCTTTGAAGTTGCTTGTCTGGACTTTATTCAAAGCCTCTTCTTTTTCGGTAAGCCAGGCTTTCAACAGGCACTACAAGKAATAACAAAAGTCGGAAAATAACCAAGAAATCTTTTGCTAGGTCAATTCAATCAAGTTCCCAAATCTCAAATTTTTATTAGCGGCTTCACCTTTACCTGGGTTCTGATAAGGATTACAAACATCTAAGTCAGAGGCACAAATGACCCAGAAAATCACCTTTCTTTAGCAATTTAACATTATCACATTTACAAGAGATAAACTTGACATTAACCTGAACCTGGGTAATGACTACAGTAGGATATGGTATGCGGGTGTTCTCCAGAGAGCCATGTTTTGGTAGTTGGTCCCCAGTGTTTCAAGGTGCGAGGTGGTAGACCCACCTCAAGGAGGTGGAGTCTAGTGGGAGGTCACTGAGGGTGCTACCRTCAGAAAGGTGTAGTTCTCATGGGACTCCAATTAATTCCTAAAACAGAACCATTATAAAAGAACAAAACTGACCACTCCCTGCTCTCTAGCCTCTTCACCATATATGATCACTGCTTCTCACATGTACCTTCACCATGATGTTACCTGCCGWATGACACTGCCTCTCAAACTGTGAGCTAAATACATTGTTTTCTTCATAAATTTCCCAGCCCCAGAGATTTTGTTATAGCAACAGAAAACAGACTCATATAGTGACTAAACCTAATGCTCAGGGCAGTGGCTGGATACAAAATGCTAAATACAGCTATCCATGTTTCTGAAAGAATCATATGTTATAAATCTAGAGGCAAAGGAAGATTCAAAATGGTCTTGTCCCAGGCCCACAATTTAGAGAGGAAAACAGAGAAGTGAAGTTATATATTCAAGATCAGCTGGCTAGTTAATGGCTGAGCTAGAGTAAGGACCCGCATTCAGAAACCAAGGCTCTTCCCACAACGTCAACCAGAAAAAGTACATTTACATTCAAAGTTCAACAGCAATTATGATTAAAGGAGAAAGTCTGAGGATGRTCCAAAACCAACCTAAACACTATTTAAAGCTCTTTGGTCAAAAATGCATATTCTTAAGTAGAAGATGTTAAGCAATGTAAAGAGATAACCTTGAAGAGGAGTGGAAAACAACTGTGGATAATTCTCCCCAAATCTAGTACGGACTCAGAAACCCCTTCCTGCACAGTAGGGAGCAGGTGTTTTGGTTCTGTGTGTGCAATGGGATCCACACTTCCTCAATTCTTTTAKTTATCAATTTTCAATTATTCCTCACCTCCAGGTGAAAGAGAGAGGGAGGAAAGGAAGTAAGAGAAAGAGGGAGGAAAGAATGGAGGGAGGGAGGGAGGAAAGGAGGGARGGAGGGAATAAAAGGCTAATATGAAAGTAACACCATGATTTTCTCTGGCAATCAAAGCCTCTTGACCGTCATTACTGAAGAAAGAATTAAACCATTCTCTGTGACTCTTCGCCCTAAATACAAAGTTCCAAGTAAAAATAAATATTTGTRAAGTACACCATAAATATTTTAGAAAGCAGAATCAGATTCATTATGTGATTCTTAACAGGAAAATTATGACTAAATGAGGGGTAGTGACTAATAATTTATATTTGGACAAATCTTGCAACCTACTTTTTAAGAYGTAGGATCTGCCACCATATTTAGTAAACCACAAAACCTCCTGCCCTTGGTTTGGCTTCTCTTTCCCCTCCTGAAGAGAATATACTTGCTTTTTGTGGGTGGAAATGAAATTCATTTGACAGAATTAAAATGGGTATCACAGATGAGGAAACAGAGCATGTGCTTATTTTCTAGACCACAATCATTTGGGAAGAAAAGTTTTGATTTGTGTATTCTGTTTTGATGGCTGCTGTTCTCGAAGCACGGTGGAAGGCCACTATTCTGACTAGAAAATCAAGGTGGCAACTTTGTACCCTCTTTTCATTTGCTGTAGTGAGAACTAGTGAAAAAAATATGCTGTTTAAACAAAGAAAGGTATTGCTACAAAATATTACCCAGTTAACTTCAGTACTTATTCTAGTAAAACATCAAGAAAAAAATCTTRTGATTAAAGTTTAGAATACACTGGGAAGACTCATTTATTTGTTATTTACTCAATACAGACTATACTCTAGGAATTGTGTGGATACAAATGCAAACATCACCCAACACAGATCCAATAATGATTATGTTCACCAAATCAGGAATGTAGCCTATCAGAATGCTAACATTGTAAAAAAATAAATGCAAATCTAATAAGTATTATTACAAAGGAGCCATATAACGTGATCTTTATCAATAAGGTGCATGACAGAATGGATAGAAATCTGATTTTTTTTTAAATACAATACTGAAGATTAAACTCTGGGGCATTCCACCACTAATCGACATACCCAGACCTTTTTATTTTTTTTAATTTTAAGACAGAATCTCACCAAGTTGCCCAGGCTGGCCTTGAACTTGCCATCCTCCCACCTTAGCCTCCCAAGTCACTGGAATTATAGGTGTGCTGCACTATATCTAGGAAGAATCTGACTTTTATGATAATGAATAACCACTTGCAWGTTTTCCTTTCAAAGAAAAAGGAACAGGACAACTTTATTCTAATGCCATAATAAAAGATGGGTTACTTTTCACCATCAAATTTTGTTCTAATAGACAGGAGTTTCATACCTGTTCTTCCAACAGTTCCTGCCATAGGATATGGATTTCTTGTAACCTATTCCAACGCTCTTCGGTCCAACGGCACACCGCTGTCCAACGCTCACCAAGTTTCTAGGGGAGAAAGAAAACCAGCCTCAGTCAACACAGCCTGAAGAGAGAGCAATCATAATCCTTAGAAAGTTTAATTTATTTTTTTTAATTTTTTATTTGTTTTAATTAGTTATGCATGACAGTAGAATGTATTTATGCACTTTGATATACATATATGAGGTATAATTTCTCATTTTTCTGATTGTACATGTTGTAGAATCACATTAGTCATGCAGTTTATATATATATATATATACATATGTATATATATATATAAATAATGTCTGTGTCATTCTACTATCCTTCCTATTCCCACATCTTCTCGCCTCCTCTCCCTTCACTCCCCTCTATCTAATCTAAGGTAACTCTATTCTTCCCTACTGCACCTCCCCCCCTTATTGTGAATTAGCATCCACATATTAGAGAAAACATTTAGCCTTTGGTTTTGTGGGATTGGCGTATGTTGCTTAGCATGATATTCTCCAACTCCATCCGTTTATCTGCAAATGCCATAATTTTATTATTCTTTAAAGTTGAGTAATATTCCATTATACAACAAAAATTGTGCATATTAATTGAGGACCACATGTTTTGATGCATGTATGCACTGTATAATRTTTAAGCCTATCTATCTCATCCATGCATGTTTTATGAAGTACAATGGTATCTGCAATAAACAATCTTACTAATAAATTAATAAATAAATCATTAAAAAGTTACAATTCCCCTTGCTCTTTGTTACAGAGTAGCAATTTATTTTTTAAAAMGCACTTATTTAAAAGTTGCTTTAAAATAGTACTGACTAATCCTATCAGTGTATAAATACATGAGAAAAAACAGTTTCTACAGAATTTAATTATTTCACATTACTAACCAAGAAGGTAACACAGCTAGAACTCAATCACACTGCTTCCATTTCATTGTGGATTTTATGGAAAAAGGTGATATTTTTGCTGGGCATGATGGTGTATTCCTACAATCCCAGCAGCTAGGAAGCCTAAGACCGGGGTATTACAAATTGAAGGCCAGCCTCAGCAACTTACTGAGGCTCTCAGGAAGTTAACAAGAACCTGTCTCAAAAGAACTGAGGATGCAGCTCAGTGTTATGTGCCCCTGGGTTCAATATCCATACAAAATAAGAATGTGACATTTTTACATATATCTTTTTTTAATTTTTTTTTTTAGAGAGACACAGAGTGAGAGAGAATTTTTTAATACTTATTTTTTAGTTCTCGGCGGACACAACATCTTTGTTGGTATGTGGTGCTGAGGATCGAACCCGGGCCGAACGCATGCCAGGCGAGCACGCTACCACTTGAGCCACATCCCCAGCCCTATATATATCTTCAAAAGAGTAAACATGTTTACTCTATGYACTTCAATTTTTTTCAGACTATAATGGTTTTCTTAAAAATTGCAGTCTATCAGTTTTATTTCTTTATCTTTTACAATGCCAAGAAAGTTTTCATCTACAGTACCAAAATTATGATAAGTGTTTAAACTTATAAAAGCATTCTGAATAAGAGAATTTGTACAAAATAAAATGCTTATTAGATTGTTGTGTTTATATCACATAATTCATAGAAAACTCCACATAAATGAGCAACAGACTCTTACAAGTATAAGCAATACTAAATAAATTTGGTTAATCTATTTTAAAAAGTCCTTCATAATGGTTTTTCCTAAAAATTTTATTACCACTTTATAAATAATGATTGACAAATGTTAAAAATTTACACACTACTTATATGTGAACAAGAGTCAATTCATATTATACTATTTTGATATTTAATTACCAATGTAATCTTTTTATGCAACAAAGGTAGAGAATGTAGAGCCAGAAGAAAGCCCTCCAGTTTCAGGATGGTAACCTATTGTCTATTTAAATTTCAGGAACATTGTAGGGCACGGTGGCACATGCCTATAATTCCAGCTACCCGAGAGGCTGAGGCAGGAGGATCACAAGTTAAAGGCAAATTAGGCAGACCCTAACTCAAAATAAAAAATCAAAAGGGCTAGGGATGTAGCTCAGTGGAGGAGCACCTCTGGGTTCAATTCCCAGCACTGACAAAAAAAAAGAACTGCAAAAATATACTATCACCTCATTGAAAAAGAAGCATTTTGTTGGGCCTCCCCAAAATGTTGTTTACCCCACACACAGATCTATCAAAAAAAAAAAAATAGGGGATGTTAAATCCTATATAGCTGAGATTCTCGAATTCTAGTATGCATATACAGATTTTTGTACAGTGAACATCCACGGGCCATCTTTTCCCCAGCTCCCTGCAGTGCAAGATTTCAGGTCTGCATGGGGCTGGAATCCACATCTTGAAGCATTCTACAAATTCTTTGAGTATTTTTTATTAAGGTCTGGAGACCATTTGTGATCCATTCCTGGGCTTCCCAATCTTGTCACTACTGTACACAAGGAAGCTGGGCAAGCAGCCCCACCCATTCACCCSACAGGCTGAAGTCAGTACCTGGGCACTCCTGTAAATTACATACCATGGTACCCCTGGGAAGGTCAACCAAAGGCATGTGCTACGATTTCCTCCAACCCACCACAATTCATGGCAGACATTTAACATTTAGGGATATTAAGGAGGAAGAAACTTAATCTGATCATGCTATGTAAGGCAGGTCCTCTGACAAGTGAGCAGATTAGATTATTAGGTTGGTGCCACCGTGATTGAATCCTGGTAGCTTTATAAGAACAGAAAGWGAGACCACACAGAAAGATATACCTGTTCTCCCTCTATGATGTGATTCAGCCAAAGGTCTCTCTCAGAGCCTATGCCATGATCTTTGGACTTCCAGACTCCAAAACTGTGAGTTGAATAAATCTCTTTTCTTTATAAAGTAGTCTGTCTCCAGTGTTTTCTTATAGTAATGAATAGCTGACTAATAACAGTAGTTTTTCTACCCTTTTGGATAAACAATTACTTAGGACTTAAGGCCCAGGAGGAACACAATTGGGTCTTGGAACATAGGTCCTCCAGAACTGGCCTACTTTGCAGGTTTCTTACCTGTAACTGATCTTCCAGAACAGCTGTTGCATTCTCACCACTGTTTTCATCAACAATTACCACCATGTGGGTTAAGGAATTTACTTTCACCTGTTCAGCCTCAAGATCATTTTGCAAACTCTAGAGGAAAAAATAAAAGTAAGATACACTATTATTTCTTGTCTTTCCCACTTACCTATTTAAAACCACTTAGTTGTCAATAGTAATTAAGCACACCTAATGAAGCGTCATATTTAAATTACTAATCATTACCCTAAGTGTTCCACTAATAAAACAAGGCTGCTATACGTCTTTCTGTTTCATTATGAAGCCAAGCAGTCTGAAAACACAATGTCAAAACAGATTGCTAATGGATGTTGTCTCTTCTGTGCCCAGTTCTAGTGGGCACAACAACAACCAAACAAGCATAAAGGAGCTGAATGTCTAAACCAGGAATTACGACAAAAATGGAGATTGGTAAATCTAAAAGTCCAGMGCTTAAACACACAGTCAAGCTGCTTGATCTAGAGTCGTATGGTATAAACGGAGAGATGAGCAGAGGCTGGATGGTTTGCAGAGGCCATTCTCATCAGCCACGCAAAAAGCAGTTGAGGACATCTGGTCCCTTCCCATCTTCCCTTTTCCATGGGAAAGCCATGGCCATTAGACTACAGAGGTGATTTGTGTAAACGCTATCCTTAGTGCTGTCTGCTACCTCTTGAGTAGTGCTAATGTAGCCCCAAAACCTTTAATGAGTTATCTAGATGGTTCAGGGATCAATAAAATTATTTAATGTACAGAAAGGGCATTTTACTCTACCTTTTTTTTTTTCTTGGCTGAGATAAAGTTATCTACTCAACTTGTGACCAAATTAAATTGTCCACCAAATTTTGATTCCTCACCCAGTACCTGATGCTTTTTTGGATCATAGAAAAGGCAACAGGGTTTCTTACAGGATTAAGTACAAGTGTCTCTCAGGGTTTGCTTCCTCCCCAACACCCTGCATTAACAGCAACACTCTAGGGTTTTTTTGTTTGTTTTTGTTTTTAAAGAGAGAGAGAGAGAGAGAGAGAGAATTTTAATATTTATTTTTTAGTTTTAGGTGGACACAACATGTTTATTTGTATGTGGTGCTGAGGATCAAACCCAGGCCACATGCACTCCAGGCAAGCGCGCTACCACTTGAGCCACATCCCCAGCCCACTCTAGGGTTCTTAACCACTTATGGGGCTCAAAAGACCCTCCTTAAAAATTACAAAAGTGGCTGGAGTTGTGGCTCAGTGGTAGAGCACTTGCCTAGCATGTGTGAGGCACCGGGTTCAATTATCAGCACCACATATAAATAAATGAATAAAATAAAGGTCCATCAACAACTAAAATATATACATAAGTTTATGAAAGCTGCACAATTTCTTAAGAACACCACATATACCCTTACAAAGCTGTACATGTACTTTCCTCTCTGGCCCAGAAAAGTAACATCCCTGTGAGCTCCACCCTCTGAGCTGCTAAAGAAAAGACAACTCGCAAGTGTCCCAACASTACACTAAAGGTAGAAGCTATCAGCCCCTGAGAATGCTAAGTGCTGCTCTTTCATATTTGATGAAGTAAAAAAGAAACAAGAGACAGATTTACTTTATGTTCTTCAAGCAACTTCTGCAGGGACTGTACATCATCGTCCAGGGGGCGGGTTTCCATCTTCTGAATGCGTTCTTCCGTGAGGGTGAGCCAGGCCGAGAGCAGCTGCAGCTGCTTCTTCTGTAATTCCATCAGCACGTCATGCAGCCTGGCCAAGGGACACAACATCATTTCCACCAGCTCTTTCCCTTGCAAAGGGACATACCCACTCCAGGCACCAAGAGATGGAGCACAGGAACACACCTACATACAGCCACTAATGGGGGGGGGCGGTATTTTCTGCCTAAATGGAGCCAAAGGATGTAAATAACATCATCTTCTATTCATATCAGAATTATTGTTTCTTCCATCAGGAATTCCTGCTCGTAAAATAGGTGGAAATGGTAATAGAATGCAATACACAATATATGAAATAAAATGGACTATGGGAAAAGATTGCTTTATAAATAAATGTTACAATGTGGACCAGTAGATCCTTACATACCACATAGTCCTGTCACCACACCCAATTAATGGTTGCCAATTTAAGTACCACACCAATAGAAAACTCTCCACTTGGAATGTGTCTTCCCGGTTTGCTAATTGCTGTATTCCAACTTTTACCTTGGGGCTGAGCTAACTTATCAAAAAGGATACAAAGATCATTTAAGCCCCAGCAATAGAACACAGAGGAGAGTCAAGATGTCATGAAGCTGGTTCTGTACTGATCTTGTTTTTGCACAGAAAGGCAGACTACCTCCTGAGCTCAACTGTACAATGCAGTCTGTGCAATACAGTGCTCACCTGCTGAGGCAAACTTACCGGGACTGTCTCTCCATGCTCTCCACCCGGAGAGCCTCCCACCGCGCATTCAGCAGGGTCATTTGTTCCTGAATCTCGAACTCCTCTTCATCTGACAGGGTGCCTTGTGTGATCAGCTGGTTTCCCGCCTGCAGGACACTCCCCACACTGCTCTGGTGTGCGGTCAGCTCCATCATAAAAGCCTAGACAGGTATACCGTGAAGATCTGTGAGCTGCTCACTACAAAATATAAATAGCTAGCGCAGCCTAAATATTGATGCAGCAGAAAAAGGTAGCCTAGTAGAGCACATGTAAAGTAGATTTTGGCACAATGTTTTAAGGTCTGAAAATAAAAAGCATCTGGCATAAGTCAAAGAAAAATTGATCAAGGAAAACTGTTATTTCTGATAATACCTGCTTTTTTTTTAAGTACATGCTAATTTTCCTACCAAGGATTGTGGAAGTAGGAATAAGTGTCAAAAAGTTGGACATGGTGGTGCATGCCTATAATCCCAGGTAGCTGGGAGGCTGAGGGAGGAARATCACAAGTTCAAAGCCAAAATGGGCAACTTTGCAAGRACTGTCTCAAAATAAAAATAAAAAGGGCTGGAGATATAGCTCAGAGTACATGGGTGCAATCCCCAGTATTGCAAAATAAATAAGCAAATAAATAAAACACCACACTCCTACAAGAGGAGAGGCTTACCACTTCTATSCTTTTGAATCCAAAAGAGTAAATAAGATCTGTCAATTAAAATACCTTCACCAAAAAAGTGCTTCCCCAGAAAGAAATCTCCACATGGTCAAAATCACTTCACTGCAATATATCATATCCTCAAAATAGCAAGGAACTCTCATTACATAAACTATATAGGAACASTGGGTAAAACTGTACATTTGCTTAATCCTATAACAAATAAAAATAATCACTTCAATCACTTCCTGGGCACACTCAAAACCTAAAGATTTGGTCTAACAAGTCATCGTTTTGATTTTTAACCCAAGCAATACACTTCAGAAATGAGCAGAACTATGCACTGATTTCCATCAGAGCAGAATTTAGCAAACCACAAACCCAGTATCAGGGTGGAGCCCTGGATTTTAGCACAACCCCCAAGGTAGATAGATGCAGCTCATGAACTACAAATATTTACTTCGTGGGTGGCAAACTGGTCTTTGACTTCTTCCACATCATCAGAAATGTCATCCTGCTCCTGGAAGGTGTCCTCTGCAGAAAGCAACCAGGTCAGTACTTCTTCCAGTGCTATCTGATAGCTGTCCAGATCCATGTCCACCTCAGTGACAGTGCTGGGGGTGTCAGCTCGGGGACTCTGATGTTCTTCCTCTGCTGCTGTACTCTATGAAAACAAAGCCAAGAAAAACTCACAATTGTCAGGAGGGATAAACATGCACTGGTGAACCCAAGACAGGCACCACTGAGTCTCAGGTATTAATTTAATTCTCAGGAATTGGGGTAGCAATTCCAAAAATTCATTAKAAAGCAATTATTTAGTCTATTAGAACAGCAAAAGATACAACAGCATGCACACACTCATGAGTTCTAGACTCCAGGCCATTCTAATATAGTTGGGGAGAGAGAAATAACCCACATGAATCACTTCTGAACAAAAATAAATGGCTCTCAGCAAAATTATAAATGTTGCAGTCCCATCAGTGTTGCTATTTGAGTTTACCAAAGGCTGAAAACAACTGGGAAAGTTTCATAGAAGARCTGAACCATACTGAACCTTGAACAACGAATATAATTTACAGAAAAAGAGCCATTGGAACTCTGTTTTGACCCCTGGTTATAATGCTTTTACTGAATTGAATTTTAACGCTGCATCTCAGGCACTGAAAGACAGCCACATACACAGGCTGTGGTACTGATTGTACTGATTGGTTTGGGGTTTTGTTTTTTGAGGCCATGGCCCTTTTGCTACCTTAATTTTTTTTTGGTTTTGGGGTTTTTTTGTTTGTTGTTGTTTTGTTTTTTGTTGTTGTTGTTTTTGTTTTTTAGGGCTCATAAAATCAATTTCTCTTAAGCTCTAAGAAACTGCATTTTTCTTTCTGTATTTCAGTATCTTATCACCAAACCCACTTGTCTCTTTGTTCTTTTGTTCCTGTTCAGAGCAAAAGTTCTTTAAAATTTATGCAGACTATCTCCACGGCATTGACTTTTATCCACTGTTTTAAAACAGAATATTTCATGTGTACACAAATGAACAGAGAACAATAAGACATGCTCTTGTACTTAACAGAGGGATTTCACTAACATTCCCTTTCACTTGCTAAGTATACCCCCAGACCGCAAATGAAAAGTTAAAAGATCCCCTTTTCTACCATAATCTTCACAGTGACAAAATAATCAACCAGCCCACTAGAATATTTCTATAATAACTGCTAGCAAAACGTACATAAACCAGAAGGGCTCCAAGGAAACCCAAAGTGCTGATCACCCATGGTTCTTACTTAAACTTCAGTAGMTCTCTAGCTGTCCAGCTGAAYCCCACCTTCTGCAGAGTTACAGCCCAGTGACCTCCTCCTGGCTCAACAGCAGCTGCCAACCAATGAGTAATTAATCTTAAAATTCAGTCCTGGGCTTTTTTTCCTCCTTTTTGTACACTCTGGCTTGAACAACTGCATCTATTTTGATAGAATTTTTAAAACTATCTATGTCCTAGGCACACATTTCACATTCACATTTCTGGCCTCAAATTCCCAACTACCCTAACACCTTCATTTCATGTTTCATGGGCATACCAAAACATGTCCATGGTTAACTGTCCCCTTTTTGTTTTATTTTCCCAAAATGTATTCCTTCTCAGGCTCTATGCATCTAAATACTCCAGCTACACTCGCATGCCAGCTTGGCTTCTTTCTTTCATCTTCCATATCTAATATGGAAGCAGATCCCATCTGCAAAAATTATCTCAACCCCATCCAGACCATTCCATCTCCATAACTACCCACGTCTCTCCGCAGGGCCAAGACAGCGTGCTCCCATTTGCCACTTAGACTCCTACCTCCACAAGCCACTCCTCACACAGCAGAAKGTCTTTAGAAAATGCATCACATCCGAAAGACTCCCTGCTTAAAGTCTTTCACTACTTTCTCAGTGCTCCTAAAATACAGTTTAAAATTCTTAACAGAGTTTACAAAAATTACTGTGATAGCAAGAAATAGAGGAAAAGGAGAATACAGTTGGATTTTGGTAAGTTAATCAGAGAAGATTGCTCTCTAAAGGTTCCACTTAGACTATGGAGAAGTGGCCAGCTTGCCTGGGGATAGTGGGTGGAGAGATGTTTTGCACATGGCAAARTGCTGGGGAAGAAGAGTGAAGGTCCACTAGAAATACGGTGTGAAGAGAGGCCGCATCAGACAAACCACACGGGAAGAAAGGTCTTTAGTCTTTCTTTAACAAAAAGAAGGAAAACTCACAGAAGACATCTTGGAGGAAGAATTAAAAACAAAAAACAGTAAACTGAATATCGGAGTTAACAGACCAGCCAGGGAGGCRGGGAATGGACCAGTAAGCTCTGAGCTGAACGAGGAAGGGGCGGATGGTGCCAAAGATAGGAAAAGAGAAATGAGTGAAGATCCAGACCTAAAATCCTGAACCCACAGAGCTGAAGTAACTCTAAGGATCATGTAGGACCAAATCTCTATACTATAATAAGGCTATAGAAGAACTGGGAAAGTTAGTCACCAGCCAAAAGCCACATGGATAGGAACCAGCATCTATGAGATGGAAGGTGTATCTACACACATGCGTCCAAAAGGTATCAGTTAAAACACATGAGGAGACGTTCAACGGACAGACAGCTGGGAAGAAGCGCAGGAATCCTTTGCTGATCACCTACCGCGACACAGCACGTGTGTGTAGAAAGGCCAGAGCTGGGAGAACAGCGACCATTAGCACATGCTGGAGAGTAGCAGAGGGCAAGCTATGTCAAAGAGCAGAGGATTAAAACTTCACCACACTTCATTTCTTCTTGCTCCTCAACGTCTAACACTAATGAAAGCATGTAAATAAGGAGTTTAGTGTTAATACACCAGCTTGTCAGCAAACAGTAAATGGTTAGTGCAGTTCTCATAGTGCCAACCCTAACCCTAAATACAGGTAATTATTTTTTTTTTAAAGAGAGAGTGAGAGAGGAGAGAGAGAGAGAGAGAGAGAGAGAGAGAGAGAGAGAATTTTTAATATTTATTTTTTAGTTCTCGGCGGACACAACATCTTTGTTGGTATGTGGTGCTGAGGATCGAACCCGGGCCGCACGCATGCCAGGCGAGCGTGCTACCGCTTGAGCCACATCCCCAGCCCAACAGGTAATTATTTTACGTACACATCATAAAGGCAAAGACAGTCCCCTTCCCTTTTAAGACASAATGGCACCAAGTGCGATTACACCTGTAATCCCAGCAGTTCGGGAGGCAGAGGCAGGAGGATTGCAAGTTCAAAGCCAGCCTCAGCAAAAGCGAGGCCCTAAGCAATTTAGTGTGACCCTGTCTCTAAATAAAATATTAAAAAGGGCTGGGGATGTGGGCTCATTAAGATCCTCTGGGTTCAATCACCAGTACCAAAAAAACAAACAAAAAGAATGGCGTGAATTATAAGAATGAAAATATCCTCTTAAAGAAAAAAAAAGAAGAAGAAGAACCCTGGTCCAATAAAGAGATAATTACAAAACCAAGAGGCAAATCCAGAYTATCAGAGTCACCTCAAAAGGTACATTATTAACAATCCACAAGAGACAAACACAGCCAGTCATAAGACGTTAAGAACTTTTCCTCGCATCCACATCTCTTCTCTTTTCCCCAGTTTTTTTCTGTTTCTAAAAACCATGCTAGTTTGAAATAGAGAAAAATATAAAGCATTAGTACACACTATCCAAATAAAATGTAAAATAATAAGTAAGTTTTCTGAACCGTGGGAGTTGGGGCAGGGGCAGGAGATGCTAGGTCACCTCATAATTACCATCCTAACGTGGAAATTCAGTTAACACTTTTTAAAAACGAAGTTGTAGAACACAAATGCCAAAACAAATTGAGAGGAAACATTATAACAATGATAGTTTATGCTTGTCAAATGTTTAGTGATATCATTTTAGACGCTTTCGATACATTGTCAAGCAGCTAGTTTCAAACACATCCATTGAGAGGTTAAATAACTGACCCAAAGCAAGTAGCAAGAGAATGAAATTTAGACACACGAGCCCAAACTTTCTGCCTCTCCACAATGAATTTCTTATAATTGTGAAATCCATGTGTATCTCTTCTGTTGCTTAGTTGCTAAAATGTTTGACCAAGTGACTTCCAAGATCTGATCCAACTCTGGAGAGCCTMCATTTTATAAATTCAGATTAGTTAGACTAAAACAAAAAGATAGGGCTGGAGTTGAGGCTCAACAGTACAGCGACCRCCTAGCACGAGTGAGGCCCAGGGTTCGATCCCCAGCACCACATAAAAATAAATACATAAAATTAAGGTAATAGGTCCAACTACAACTAAAAAAAATAAATATTTTAAAAAATAAAATATGAATTGATTTAAGGCAAGATAGTGAAGGAATAAACATATTCATTATTTTATTTATGTCTCCTGGGGGAAAACTCATTTACATTCTGATGAATAAAACCATTGTTAAGCCCTTTCATGAAAAACTTGACAAGCAGCTTATTGTAGATTACTCTCCTAAGGGAAAATAAACTTATATTTTAATAGGCATTGTGAGACTATAATGAGAGAAATAATTAAGATGGAGGGGGAGAATTAGTAATTTAAAAAGCACTGGGTTGACATGAGTAAAACCATCMCAGCACCAGACAAAGGTGACAAAAGATGGTGACCAGACACAGGAAAGCMGAGGATCTTAAACAGGACACACTCAGCACTGTCAACAAGCCCAGATCCTAACTCCCTGCGTGAAATAAGACATGCTCCTTCTTAATAAAGTTGGGTGAGYTGTGGTTTTCCATGGCACGATGTGACAGCCTGTTTACTGAAGCACTGAACTGAGAAACCAAGATGTTCTCAGTCAAGAAAACACCCTCTGAGATGTCATTATCTGGTACCTGTGAGGAAACAAGTGTGACAAGCCCAACACGTTAACAAAAAGGTTCTGGTACCTGTAACTGAATTTCTTCCTCTTCACATTCTTTCTTGTATTTCCTTGGGAGTGTCTCAACCTCTCGGATGGCATCGATTGTGACTTGCTGAGGTAGCACCTCAAACAAAGATGTTAAATACATAATTATGGATTTCTTGTCAGGAAGCTGAACAGCAACATCTAAAAGTGGAAGAAAAAAAGAACCAGCCTAAATTAGATGTCCAAAATACTTGAGCTGCTCRATACTAGGTATAAAATAACTATCCCTAGTACCCATAAACAATACTTAATCTATAATCTTCGCAATACCATGTCTCAGTAAATTGTGGTTTTGTTACAATACRTGAGACAAAGGCAAAGAAGATTACTTATTTTTTATTTGGTATCCCATTCCTTAAAAATCTTCTCTACAATCCTCCTCAGAATGCACAAAGGTAATTAACTACATGTTATCACTTAAAATAATGATATRGATGTCATTCAGACTATGAAGGTAAGTTTAAAATTCAACCCTACAACATTTATAACTAAAAATCTACTTTCATAAACTACTGAATTGCTCATTTAGTAAATATATCTTTCTGAAACTTATAATCTTCTAAAACTTAAAATCTTAGTTGATATAATAGATTAGCTATTATCCGATGAAATACTTTCTGCCTAAACAATTTCACAAATTGCTAAATACAAAAGTACTAATAATTCATCTGCAATAAGTGGCTGATAGCTATACTTCAAAAAGAAAAAGATTCTTCAATTCTCATAAATCAGCCTAAAGAGGAAAAAATATTGCTTTTCAAGGATTCAATGTTATAAAGCAAAATCAAGGTTCAAAGTAAATACTGAACAATACCTTCAGGATCTAACAGCTTTTCAATTCCCAAATAAGTCTGAGCCTTGCTGAAGGCATGTTCCAGTCTCTCAATTGGGGACATTTTGACAACTCTATCCCAGCTGAAGAGATCCGGCCTGAAATCACCATGCAAATAAAATTCAATGAAGATAAAATATTGTGGAAATAAAATAGGCACTGTTACAATCTAATTACGTTTCAGTTTTAGATTTTAGATTTTTTTAAGTTGTGAGGTTTTTTTTTTTAGAATTAAATATTTTATATCCCAATGGTTTATCAAATAGAAAATATTTGAAAGTAAATTACAAATATAAAAATAACAGATAACACATTCTAAGGCTTTTGGATTAAATATGCCAGTTAAGATTCCTGGGTAAGGGCTGTGGTTATAGCTCAGTAGTAGGGAACTTGCCTAGTAGCATGTGTGAGGCATTAGGTTTGATCCTCAGCACCACATAAAAATAAAATAAAGGTATTATGTCCATCTAAAACTAAAAAGTTAATGGACAAAMAAATTCTTCAATTAAAAGACCAAGATCAGCCAAATAGAAAATCCAGCTCTAATCAGTTCACATGGCCTTTCTAAACCAAAGGCTCTGAGAGGCTTRCCCTCCACTGTCCCCTCTAGGTTGTTAGCATTTCATTGCTATCTTGATTTTCCTTTAATCTCACAACTTGGACGCTACTGTCACATTGACATACCCCAAAAGTGATCATTTTCTCTGTGCTCTTAAATCTTTGACCCACATGCCTTCTAGGACTTGATCCCCCACTCGCCTGACTTCTTGTGCACCCTCCTACCACTCAGCCCCCAACAGACCCTGCCCTCCCACAGACCAGGTGCCTCCTCCCCTTGCTTAATGTGTTGCTCTTCAGTATGTTTAAGATTTCTAGGTACAACTTATATTCCCATTTTTCCTCTGTTGGAATGTCAACTCCAAGTGGACTAGGATTTTTGCCCGTTTGGTTCTCTGCTTGACACCTGTGTCTGACACAGCAGGCACTCCTCATGTACTTGCTGAATCAATTAATAGATGGGAAAAGTAATGACTAAATGCAATACTTTTTCATGATAAAAGCTCTAAGCCAGCAAGGATCAGAGAACAGCCTCCTTAAGCTGATACAGGAAGAGTGGAAGAATACAGAGGAGGAAGGCTTTAACTTCATTAAAAAAAAAAAAAAAAAAAAAAAAAGACAGTGTAGCAAAAAAAAAAAAAAAAAAACAGCAAACCCCATTCTTATGGTACAACATGAAAAGCAATGCCTTTGTTACCAAGAACAAAACATTCTGCTCACTATCACTGAATCAATACTGCACTAAAGTACAAGGCACCAGGAGGAA